CGTGAGCCACCACCCCCGGCTCCCATCCACTTTTTATCTCTATGGATTTCCCTGTTCGGGACATTTTACATAAATGGTGTCATGCAGCATGTGGCTTTTCGTGTTTGGCTTCTTTGACTGTGCATAATGTTTTTGAGGCTTGCCTATGTTGTAGCCTGTGTCCGTACTTAGTACTTAATTTATTTTCTTTGTGTAGTACTAGGGCTTTGTGCCCGCTAAATAAATCCTCTATCACTGATCTACATCCCCAGCCCTTTTTATTTTTTATTTTGAGACAAGATCTCACTAAGTTGCTTAGGGCCTCTCTCAGTGGCTGAGACTAGCTTTGAGACATTTTTTTTTTTATTTTTTTTAGAGAGAGAGAGAGAGAGAGAGAGAATTTTTTTTAATATTTATTTTTTAGTTTTTGGCGGACACAACATCTTTTTTGTATGTGGTGCTGAGGATCGAACCCGGGCCTCACGCATGCCAGGCAAGCGCGCTACCATTTGAGCCACATCCCCAGCCCTTTGAGACATTTTTAATTTTTAAATAATAGAACCATATTTTAAATAATCATCGTACCATATATTCATAAGTATTCCTACAGTTTAGTAATAAATCTTTTTTTTTTTTGGTATCAGAATTGAACGCAGGGACACACTACCATTCCCAGCCCTTTTTTATATTTTTTATTTTGAGATAGGGTGTCTCTAAGTTGCTCAGGCTGGCCTCAAACTTGTAATCCTCAGCTTCCCAAGTTATTGGGATGAGACCCTGTCTCAAAAAAACAAAGAGGGCTGGGGATTTTTGTCAGTGGTAAAGTGCCCCTGGGTTAAACCCCCAGTACCAAAAACAACAACAAAAAACTGCCATTTATTAGCTATCATGGTTGTTTTAGGATCCTAAGTGGTCAGTCCAGTGAGACTGGAGGGCACAGATTTCACTGGTTTTGATGAGGCAGCTGTGTAAGATTCATATCACCCCAATTTCTCCACCTGTGTAGTTAGTTGACCCTTGTTACCTGTGGGTTCTTCATCTGCAGATTGAACCCAACATGGATTAAATATGCTAGAAAAAAATGGGGTCCATATTGAACATGTACAGAATTTCTTTGGTCATTTTTCGGAGGCCACCCTGAATAGGAAGGAGTTTTACACACAGCTTGAAGTCCTGAGCCAGGAGGTACTGGACTGGCATTGCACCCCCTGTAATGCCTGTCGACTTAACCTCTGCTGGCATAGAAAGGTGCAGCCCTGAGGGTGGGCATCCCCTGATGGGTTGAGTTACACCCACCTGTGTGTTATAATCCTACCCCTGCCACTTTTTTGGACAGCCTCCCCTGTTTTTCTTTGCCCACCTTGTGGCAGCTTGAGGCTGGAGGTGGGCCATGAAAAAGGTATTTTGTGTGTCTGTCACCCCGGTGACCTGAGTGACCCTGGTTTGGTAGCCCACGCTGGACAGGGGCTAAGTCATTATTCCCTAAATAGTGTGGTATATGGATGATGTGCACAGCATTTACATTGTATGATTTAGGGCTGGGGCTGTAACTCCGTGGCAGAGCACTTGCCTAGCCTGTATGAGATTCCATCCTTAGCGCCACATAAAAATAAATAAATAAATAAAGGCATTCTTTCCATCTACAACTATAAAAAATTTTAAGTATAAAGAATATGATTTGGGGAGGGGGGAGGGTGGAGGATGGGAAAGGCAGCGGAGCACAACAGACACTAGTATGGCAATTTGTAAATCAATGGATGTGTAACTGATGTGAATCTGCAATCTGTGTATGGGGTGAAGGTGGGAGTTCATAACCCACTAGAATCAAAGTGTGGAATATGATATGTCAAGAAATTTGTAATGTTTTGAACAACCCACAATAAAAAATTAAAAAAAAAAAAAAAAAAAAGAATATGATTTAATGTATATGGGAGGATGGGCATACCTTAAATGTAAATACAGTGTCACTTTATATAGGGACTTTAGCATTCTTGGATTTTAGTGTCTTTGTTGGGGGATTCCTGAAACTCTCAGATACTCTCTCAGATACTGGGGGATAACTAATTATAAATGAAATTGACTGATTAGGTAATACTACCTTCCCTGCAGGCACTGCTTGTATTTAATGTGTATTAAATCATTTCATCTCAGGACAACCCCTGGGTTGGCTACTATTTTTGTTCCTATATTATAGGCAGGGAAACTTACACTAAGAGATGCTAAGTGGTCCAAGGCATAGTTGGAAGTCCAGCTGGAATTTGGATTCATGCATCTTAGTGTGGTGCTGGCCTGGGCAGCTGAATTCTGGCCTTCCATACTTACTCTGGGGTTATGATTTTATTTCATTTTATTTTATTTTTTGGTACTGTGATTGAACCCCGAGTTGCTTAACCACTGAGCCACATTCTTAGTACTTTTACTTTTATTGTGAGACAGGGTCTCACTAATTCGCTAAGGGCCTCACTAAGTAGCTGAGGCTACTTGTGATCCTTCAGCCTCCCCAGTTGCTGGAATTATAGGTGTGCACCACCACACCCAGTTGGGGCTGTGATTTTATTTTATTTTATTTTGAGAGAAAGAGAGAGAAAGAGAGAGAGAGAGAGAGAGAGAGAGAGAATTTTTCAATATTTATTTTTTAGTTCTCGGTGGACACAACATCTTTATTTTATTTTTATGTGGTGCTGAGGATCAAACCCAGCGCCCCATGCATGCCAGGCAAGCGCACTACTGCTTGAGCCACATCCCTAGCCCCGGGGCTGTGATTTTAGGATCTTTATCTTAATCTTATCTCTGACCTCCCCAGCAACCTTCTTGAACTTGACCTTGAGCAAGGTTAGGGCTGAGAGGTGGGCAGAAATGGTAGACTGTCCAGAGAAGGGGGAGGCCTTGGGGGCTCAAGCAGCAGATTCTCTGTCAGGTAGGCCTCCCAGAAAACCTGAATGGAGCCCACCTGTTTCAGTTACTCTGGTTAAGGAAGGACCAGTGCTGCCAAGATAGTAGCCAGGATTTCCAGCAAAGACCAGGGATGCCCCCTGGTGGATCCACACCCTCCAGATGCAGAGCTGTCTTTTGGATCAGCTTCCCAGGATGTCTAGGCTGGGAAGCCTGACCACTGAAGTCTGGGGTTCTTTCTGTTTTGTTGTGTTTTAGCATGTAATCAGAGTGCACAGTGTTTATTCCAGGATGTAGGATAAGAGCCCAGGCTCTGGTATTTGATAGGATTGGCTTCACATGTCAGCTGTCACTCACAAACTGGACATTCTACATCGAGATAGTTGTCTGGGCTTCAATTTCTCATCCATCAAATAAGTGTCACTGAAGTTCCACCTCGTAGAGCTGGGGCCATGAGAGCTCTGTAGAGGGCGGGATCATGCTCAGTGAGTGTGCATGGTTGTCTTCCATGGAATGGAATCAGTTACTCTGTGGGCCTTGGTTTCCCCCTTTGTAAGACAAGAACAAATTGTGAAATTTGGTTGTGAAAATTAGACCTTGAACGCAAACTTAGAACACCTACGTTCTGCTACACGCGTAAGAGGTTAATTTTATGATTTAGTTCCTACTGTGTGAATGGCACTGTGTTTATTTATTCAACAAATATTGACCAAAGGCCTGTTCTAGGGCAAGTTCTGAGACCAGAGCTGGGCATGTAGCAGTGAACAGAATGAGACTGGCTTTTTTTTTTTTTTTTTTTTTGAGGAGAGATGAGACTGTCAACCCATATCAGCATCCATGTTAATTCAAAGTTTCGTCTTATTTCAAGGACCGGCACACTTTTCTCTGTAAAGAGCCAAAGAGTAAACATTTCAGGCTTTGCAAGCCATGTGCTTTTTGTCTCAACTATTCAGCTCCACCCTTGGAACATGCTAGTGGCCCTAGACAATATGGAAGCCAAGGAGCATGGCTGGGTACCAAGCAAATTTTATATGTTCCCTTGAGAATTTGAATTTCATATAGTTTTCACATCAAGAAATAATACTTTTTTAATTTTCACCATTGCATTTAAAAATGTAAAAAACATTCTTAGCTTGTGAGCTGTCCTAGGCAATGGGCCGGATTGGCCCTGGGACTGTCATTTGCTGACCCCTAGTGAGGGTACCCATAAAGTTTTGCAGCAGCTGTGAATAAGGGGTCACTTGTTTCATTCCCCCTCCCCCGTCCCCGTACTGAGGATTGAACCCAGGACCACTCTTGCTGAGTTGCCGGGGTGACCTTGAACTTGTGATTCTTCTGCCTTATCCTCCCATGTTGCTGAGATTACAGTACAGGCATGTGCCATTGTACCCAGCCCACTTTTATTTCTTTTAGTTGTAGATGAACACAATATCTTCATTTTTATCTATTTTCATGTGGTGCTGAGGATCGAACCCAGGGCCTCACGCATGCGAGGCAAGTGATCTGCCACTGAGCCACAACTCCAGCCCTTGTTTTGTTTTGTTCAGTATTTCTGAGTCTCCATGGACCATGCATTTGCCACTGAGCTGCTGGGGAGTTGGGGGTCTTTCCAGATAAGATAAGATAAGAGCCGTAATGCTCCTTGTGCCTGTGACACGCAGGAGGTGCCAGCCTCCTTAGTAAGTCATCTTGAACTCGGCAGTCTGTGTTGTGTGTGTTTTCTCCCCTTTCCCAGTAATTCTCTCCCCTCTCTCATTCTTCCCTGTGTGGCTGAAGTTCTAGAGACAGTTTGTTCCCATGTCACAAAGAAACAAAATGAGTCTCAGAAGGGGTGGAGAGTGCCTCAAGAGTTCGTCAGCGCAGCAGGTGGTGCTCAGTGGGAGGGTTGGTCTGCAGGTCCTTTAGGAAGCCATTGAGGACACCTTAGGAAGCAGTCATGGGATGCCACTCTGGTGGAGGGAGGCAGACAGGGTGGAGAGAGGTCAGGTCAGGAAAAGGGCATTAAGCAGACATGGAGCAGAGCTTAGGAGAATGGGACCCCTGGAGGAGGAGCAGGTGTTGTTTTGTGGGGGGCTTCCAAGAAGGTCCTGTGCAGACAGGAGTGACCAGCATGTGGATTGTGTCCCCAGGGAGCCGGCGGCTGGTAGATGTGATGGACGTGAACACCCAGAAAGGCACAGAGATGAGCATGTCCCAATTCGTGCGCTACTATGAGACGCCTGAGGCACAGCGGGACAAACTGTACAACGTCATCAGCCTGGAGTTCAGCCACACCAAGCTGGAGCACCTGGTCAAGCGCCCCACTGTAGTAAGTCTGGCTGTGGCTGTCCCGACACCTGCCATGGTCCCCTTCCTTCCCGCCCTGCTCCTAAGTTGGGAATGGCTGGCATGGGTGTGGCCAAGGCTGGTCCCCTGGGTGCCAGGGAGGAGATGTTGGGAGCAGGGTTTTGCCTTCTGTGCAGACTGAGGCAGGAGGATGGGATGGAGTGGATGGGGGCAGCAGCTCAAGGCAACCAGAGCCGTCCCTGGAGCAGAGGGGGCATTTACTTCTGACCTGGTAGTGGGGCCAGGAACACTGAGTGGCCTGGGTTTCAGGTGGACCTGGTGGACTGGGTGGACAATATGTGGCCCCAGCACCTGAAGGAGAAGCAGACGGAAGCCACCAACGCCATCGCAGAGATGAAGTACCCGAAAGTAAAGAAGTAAGACGGCCTGGTTGGTGGGGAAAAGAAGGGGTGACCCCCAGCTTGGGGAGGCCAGCAGGGGGATGCCTGGCTGTCCACATGAATTTGAGTGTCACTTTGCAACTGACTTCCTTCAGAGCTGAAGGGCCTGGGCTGGGCCACAGTTGGGACAAGAAGGGTGTGGGCCTTGGTTTGGGCAGGTTGGCATCTTGCTTCTCTGAAACACAGGGCTCGATTCCTGCACTGGGCAGGCTTTCCAACCAGCTGGCTCTCGGGCCTCCCCACAGCTCCCATGGGGAGGACATGATCTGAGAAGGAGGAGCCATGGGCCAAGATTCCATGTACACCTGAGCAGAAATTGGAGTCATCTTATTCACCAGAAGTATCTTAGAGGGTGCCCTCCTAGCAGGGGGTTGGTGCAGGTCAGGGAAGGTGACCCTGGTCAATAGCAGAGACCTTGCTAGACACAGCATGACCAGCGGCATAGCCTGTGATTGATGTTCAACCCCAGCAGCGGCACCTCTGGGCCTCTCCATGTACAGGGACTTGATAAATGGATCTCTGGGCAGAAGAAGTCACCTTTGGGATTTCCACCAGCTCAGGCCCTCTGTTTCCATCCCTTAAAGGGGAAGGATTTGCTGGCTGTCGCAGCCAGAGCTGGGCTTCCTAGAAGAGCTGCTGCAATACCCTCAGAGCTTATAGGCTGTGAACTTTCCATCCCTCCGCCTTCCATTCAGTGCTGTGTCTTGAATGCAGAGTGCGTGCCAGGCTTCCTAGGGGAGGCCAATTGGTCCTGGGCTTCTAAAGGTTTTGCTTTCAGCAACCCCCCTCCACCCCCTTCTCTAATTGCTTCCTAGACATTTCTCCTCCCCCTTCAGGCTGAAGCTCCATACATCACTTGGACAGAGTTGCATCCATGAGAGAGACTTGGCTCGAGGCGGGGAGGAAGAGTAGCAGAGTTTGTTTCCAATTCTGTTTTTTTCTGACTGCAGCCAGAGCCCCTGGGAGGGGAAATAGAGGAAAAAAAGACTAAGGGCCCCACCCTGTGGAGAAAGTGCCCTGCAGCACCAGGCTACTACCCTGTGGCTCTGATCCTGGGCCCCGGGAAGCAGATTCTTGGGAGGAGGACAGGGAAGGAGGAATCTGGGCTGAAGTCCTCAGGAGGAGAGGCTAACCTGGGCTTTAGGGAATGGTGGCAGTGGGAGGAGGGGGAGGGATGGAGGAAGGGAATCAATCATTTGATTGATTCATTCAGCAACCACGTACTGAGCCCCTGACTGGTGCTGGGCACTGGGGACACTGTGTGTGGGTGGGGGGCTGATGAGGCCTCTGCCCACATGAAGTGTAGTTTATGGGGAGACAGGTGTTAATCCTGTAACGAGAGACAACACTTGGATGCTTGCATTTGGGATGAAGCCACCAGGCAAAGTACCACTTTGGCACTGGCACCAGGGGACTACCTGGTCAGGGAGGTCAGGCAAGGAATTCTGCACTGGGTTCTAAAGGGTTTAGGGGGCTCCTTAGATGATGAGGACTGAGGGGTTTTCTGGCTGGGTACAGAGGAGCTAGGATGGTTTGGGAGGGACAAGGGGACAGCTGTGGATATGGGAGCAGGGTTTTGGGAGTATTTGCAACCTTGGGAGACAAAGGGTTTGTAAAGAGCCAGACTGAATAGAGCCTGATGCCCCAATTTCCCCCCAAAAGACTCAGAAACCTCTGAGGTTCTAAGTGGGCAGGATGTGTTCAGGGTTTTATTCTGCAAATTCTCCTCTATGTAGATTGAAGTGGGCGCGGCCAAGCAGATGGGAGGAGGCCACTGTCTGGCCTAGATAGACAAGGATCCGGCGGGGAGAGAAGAAAGGAGAGGACACTTGGACATGTATTTAGGAAGTAAAATAGGTAGCACTGGGGGATGTAGATATCAGTTAAGGTCTGCCTTATCTTCCTGAGATTCCTTTAAATAGCAAGCTCTATAAACAATTTCGAATCCTCTCTAAGGACCAAAAAATCCTTCTCTAAGGACCAAAAAAAAAACCGGGCTCACAGTTTGCTAGGACCACACGTCTTTGAGGCATGGTGTAGCAAATAGATTTCCAAACTCTGTCAGCAGCCACGGAAACTTGTTACAGGATTTGAACCTTGTTAGGAAGGAAATTGTCACCTTGGAAATAATCCATTTGTTTGGCTGAAAAGAATGCATAAGCAAGGTAAAAATCCTACCACGATAAAGTCCTCTGGGACCGTGTGGAATGGTTTTGTGGAATTTAATTAAAATGACATTGTTTCTGGAAATCGCAGAGCTTCCTTGCTGGAGGCGCCCGCGGAGCAGAGACAGCTGCTGGTCCTCCCGAATCAAAGGTTTGCGGGGCGCAGAGGGGGAGTGCGAGGCACTGCTGCTTGCGCCCTAGCTCCAGGATTTATGCTGTTCACTTGTGGTCTGGGGGTGCTTTAGGAATTTCAGCGGGTTTTGGGAGTACTTGCAACCTTGGGAGACAAAGGGTTTGTAAAGAGTATGCTGATGTATATTATGGTGCCAGACACTTCTCTAAGTGGTTGATAGATCACAATGAATAGAGTCAAGTCCCCGTTCTCACGGAGGGTGTTCAGAGAGTTCGGAGCTGGGGAATAATTTGTTGCTAAGTGTCTCAAAGAGACATAAAGCAGGCAGGGCAGGCGGGCGCACACCTGTACTAGCTATTTAGAAGTCTGAGGCAAGAGAATCACAAGTTCAAGTTCAGCTTGGGCAATTAGTGAGGCCCTAAGCAACTTAGTGAGACCCTGTCTCAAAATAAAAAAAAAAATAAAAGGGCTAGGGATGTGGCTTAGTGGTAAAGTACCCCTGGATTCATTCCACAGTGCAACAAACAAACAAACAAGAACAAAAACATAAAGCAGGATGAAGGGGAAAGAGAATGATGGGTGGTGATCCAATTGATCTGCATCTTGGCATTTCCTCTATCTCCATCTGTACCCTATAGAAATTCTTTAAATTGTTTAGGATTGTTTGTCTTGAAATTCCTTTTATGTCTAAGCAATTGATAATTATTTGGTACTATCCTTGCATTATTTTTGTTTGTTTTGGTGGTATTGGGGATTGAACTTAGGGACACTTAATCACTGAGCCACATCCCCAGCCCTTTTTATCTTTTATTTTGAGACAGGGTCTCATTAAGTTGCCCAGGCTGGCCTGGAGCCTGTAATCCTTCTGCCTCCTAGTGTCTGGGATTACAGGCATGAGCCACGGTGCTCAGCTGCTTTAGCTCTTTATTGATACATAACCATGACCCTAAAACTTCACAGCTAAAAAAAAATTTAGCAGCTTAAAACAATTGTAGATCAGAAATCTGAAAATAACTTAGTAAGATAAATTTTGCCCAGGGTCTCTTATGATCTGTGTCAAGACTTAGGTCTGATGGGCATAGTGGAGCACCCTGTAATCCCAGCTATTCTGGAGGCTGAGGCAGGAGGATCACAATTTTGAGGCCAGCCTTAGCAATTTAGCAAGACTCTGTCTCAAAATTCAAAGAGCTGGGCATGGCTCAGTGATAGAACTCCACTAGATTCAATTGCCCAGTACTGCAAAAACAAAAACAAAGTCTTACGCCTGGGTTGCATTTATTTAAAGGCTTAATGGGGAGATTGAAGGATTCACTTCCAAGATGGGCATTTACATGACTATTGGCAGGAGACCTCAGTTTTTTGCTACATGGATCTCTGCACAGGTTCACTTGAACATCCTTGTGACTGACAGCTATTTCCCCAGAATGAGTGGTTCAAGAAAGACCAAGGAGGGGGATACAGTGCTTTTCATGACCTAATTTTGAAAGTCACATCCTGTTTGCTTGTGCTGTCTTCTGTTAATTAGTCTGGCCCATACTCAAGGGGGTAGGAATTTAGTTCTACCTCTTGAAGAGAGGAGCCTCGAAGAATGTGTGGACACATTTCAAAGCCTTCACAATCCCTTATGACATAGGTGTACCTTTTTCACTAAGAAGGACTGGGCATTGTAATGCATTCCAGAAAGGTATTAAGGAGTCTCCTCCCTTCTCTGCTGCTCCCATAACACCAGGGTTTGCAGAAATGAGGTTTGCTGGTGAAATGAAGATATGCTGTGGGCCAAGAAGCAGCGAAGGAACTCAGAATCCCAGCCGAAAGGGGACTTCACGTAAAGCATATGTTTGGCGCATATGTTTGAGAGTTAAATGCAAACCTCTCCTTTTTTCCTTATTTTATGGGAGTGGTAGGAAAAACTGGGGGGAACTATATGGGTGAGAAGCTGAAAGGATGAAAATGGGCATTGGGTTGAGCAACTTGCAGGGGCTGTTTCTGCCATTCTCTGGTCTGGGATTACAGGCATGAGCCATTCTGCTTCGGCCATTCTCCGGACCCTGCAAATCTTTCATCTTTTATTTGGAGACTCAGTTTTACCTTCTGCAAAGTGGGGGTTCTGTCATCCCTATCCTGCCTCCCTGCCTTGGTGTGGGAGTGGATGTGAAGTGTGCAGTGCCGTCCCCACGTGGGACAGAATGTTTGCCCCTGTGGCCTATTGGACCCTGGCATCCTCTGCTGTTAGTCTGCCCTCCCTCATGTCTGTATAGAGCTTTTCTCCACAACCACATTCACTTTTTAACTCCAAGACTGCCTCTCATCATCTGCATTTGCTGGCTTCACCCCTGTGTCCCATCAGGCAGGGAAACTGGCTTAAGAGGCTGCCAGTGTCAAATAGGGAGGAAGTTGTGGGCCACACCCCAGGCCTTTGGATTCCTGATTTCTTTTTCCTACCTCTCTACCATTCTCTGTCCAGATAGGTGTGCACCAACATTCTGTGTTAGATACTGGTTTGACTATCTCAGCAATCCTGTTGGCAGATGTAGTATCCTTATTTTGCAGATAAAGAAACTGAAGTTCATAATGGTTCAGTGCAGATAACATAGCAGGTGAGTGTAAGACAATAGAGACTGGTGGGGCTTGTGGATAACTAGAGAGGCAGGCCTTTAGAAATTCTTTTTTTGCAAAAG